ATACGTGTTGGAACATTGTATGACAAACTCAATCATGGAAACTTCTCACTGCATGTCTCAAGGTGATTCCATTTTTAAAAAAATGTTTTAAGGTAATATAACAACTCTGTGTTCATCCTCATTCCTCGCCCACTAGGATTTAGCCAAGTTCCTTGGGCACAGAAAGAAAAATAGCACCAGAGGAATGTAGAAGACACCTCTTCTTTGCTGATATAAACTATCAAAATTTTCCCTCTGACTCCAGTTAAAAATATTTTGCACAGAATAGCTGAAGGCTGAAATTTCTGTAAGTAATTCTGCCCATAACTCTGACTTTGAAGGCTAATAAAATGATTCATTTGGCTGCTGTACGAACTGAATGACTGCTAGGTATACTGGGAGCAGGACTTAGACAACAGGGCATAGATCTTGGGCAAGAGGAGGAGCATCGTCACCTTGATATTACCATTTAAAGACTGATATTTGCTATTAAATTCTCCTTGGATGGAAAGACCAGAGGTAAATTTATCAAGAAGTCTGCAATCATTTTGAAACACGTGATTTCCCTGAATTGTGTGTGTATACATATATAAAACCCTATATTTCCTCAAGACTGCTTACTCCTTAGTCACTGAGAGCTCCTATTCTTCTATTCTTTAAATATGTCTTTCCTTCCCTCAATTCAGAAAAATCTGAAATGACATTTGAGATCACTATAAACTATTCTAACAGAAAAGACAACTCTGAAAAAAGAAAGGAGACTGAGAAAAAAATGTTAAAATTGAACTTTAAAATAAAAAGTATGTGTGTATCTGCATATGAAACAAAATATCAAGATTCATTCTGTAAAAGGGGACAGTTTAACATTTGCCTTGGGGGAGGCTACAGTTAACTTCACCCACAGATGACAGTTGCTTATAAAGATTTCAAATTCCATTGACATACATGTCCCTTTACGTTTCCCTTCTTATCCTTCAAAATAATGAACAATATTCTAAACGTTATCTCAGGGAAAATGTGATATCTATCTGTTTCTGTAGATAAATTCTAGATGGAAAAGTTAAAAAACATTTTTTACAAAATGATCTGTTTATGAGATGATTCTCCTCTACCTCCAATACATTCTACTATTAAGAACCATCTAATAAACAAGACCATTTAATAAAGAATGCTAATAGTATCAATACCAGTTATTAGAATTTTGTGTGCAATTTACAGAGGGTCCATTCCTGACAGCTATTTATAAATATATCTTTATGACATGTATAACTCTGAAATATAAAATGACATTTGTTGAGTAATATGAGCCCAAATGATAAGATGAAAATTGAATTGTAGTATTTAATGGGTAATACTTAGTGTTAAACTCACCAGAGGTTAGTAAATCTCTCCAATTTCCCATGTATAAAATCAGTATGAAAAGACCTATGCCAGAGTTCTTCATGTTAGGGAATATACAAAGCATAAATAACTTCCTATAGAGATTGACTCACTTAAGCGTTGAATAAGTAAACGTGTTGTTGGTAATGATGATCATGACGGAGATGAGGAAAAGATGGACAATGATAATGTCTATTTAAGTGTCTTCTCCTTGTGGATGGATCCAAAAACGCTATATGTTTCTTGTGTTTTTGGTCCAGTTTAAGTGTTTTTGTTTGCTCAAGCGGGCCCAGTAACGTCTCCATTGGAGACTTTGTTGTTACTGTGTCTGGCATATCGAATACTCTCGGTAGCTTGCCGGGCTCTCCGAGAGGGGCGGAGGAATCGAACTCGGGTCGGCCATGCTGGCCGCGTGTAAGGTGAACGCCCTACCCGCTGTGCTATCGCTCCAGCCCGGTTTTTGGTCACTATCTCTTTATTCTATTTATCACCCTCTTTGTTAAACCAACCCTTCTCTGATGATGTTTGGGATGAGGAGTCATTTACTTCCTTTTGGTTCCCTGTAATTCTTTGTATATGATTCTGAATCTTTAGAGGGGTTTTGTTTTTGTTGCTTGTTTTTCACTGGGTGGGGAGAGGGGGTGTGGGAGTTGGGGGACAAACCCTATAGGGCTCAGAGGCAATTCAGAGGAACATATAGAACGTTTCAAACCCAGGACTTACAAAGGCAATCATTCTTAGTCTTTGGGCCTAAAAATACATAAAGTTCTCTTTAGATTCCCTAGAAATAGGGACTGGAGAAATAGCAAAGGGGTCAAGACACATGTTCTACATGACATCCACCCCTGGTTCAATCCCTGGCACCACATGCTCCTCTGAGAATCTCCAGAAGATTCTGGAGAACGCCTGAGAACTCCTAGGCTTTCTGAGTGCTCCTTTGGAGACTGAAAAGTTAAAAAAATAAATAAACTCCTTAGAATTAAGCATTTTGGGGATGGAGCAATAGTACAGCAGGTAGAGAGCTTGCCTTCACACAACTGAACTGGGTTTGATCCCAAATCTGAATATGGTCCCATGAGCAATCACTTGTATCACTTGTCCAGTTGTTCATCGATTTGCTCGAGCAGGTGCCAGTCACGTCTCCATTCGTCCCTGTCAAGTGCTAGAATAGCCCAATGGTATAGTGGGGGCTCTTTGAGGGTCAGGGGAATGAAACCCATTATTGTTACTGGTTTTGGCATATCAAATACTCCATGGGTAGCTTGCCAAGCTCTGCCGTGCGGGCAGGATATTCTTGGTAGCTTGCTGGGCTCTCCAAGAGGGAGAAACTGTATTGCTCTCTTCCGGGAGCTTTGTTTTATAGTCTCTGGATCTTGGCCATTGATCAGATTACATGGTGTTGGGGACAGTTTGTGGGTGTGACTGCCAAGCCACTGGAAAATGGGGGATCTGGGTGGAGCGGGCCCCGTCCCAATCCAAGCTGGGGGAGATCTCAGCCACGGGTCCTGCATACCTGCATACCTGTCAGTTCCTTCATGCGTGAGGCTTGTCTGAGAGTGTGGAGAGTGGCCTTAAGCAGGGTTGTGGCTGGGTTCTGGAGGTTTTCGGCTACCTGGGTTATACTTGGGGGAGGACGGGTGGAAGACTCAACCTGCCCCCCTCTGAGGGGCCCGGGTGAAGACAGCCTGGTGCGGGGTCAGGAGATTCTGGGCAATACCAGTAGTAATTCCTGAATGGAGAGTCAGAAGTAATTCCTGAAGAGTCAAGAGGAACCCCTGATATAAAAATAAAATTAAATTTAAAAAAAAAGAAAAGAAAAGAAAAGAGAGGTCCTTCATGCCCAACCAAGGCCATGAGTTGCCCCCCATGAGCAGCTCTCCGGCACAGCCATGGCACCAGAGGCACATGGACCTAATCCAGAGCCCAGCAGCTTGCGGCAGAAATGTGAATGGACTATGCGTTGAACTCTGGCACCATGCCCCCTCGGGAGGAAAAGTGTGTCTGTCTTTTCAGCCTTTCCCTTGCCCCACTCCCCCACGGAAGCACAGTGGTCGCTGCCTCAGAGCTTATTGGAAAGCTAGGTATGAGCCGGCGGTAACAGGGCAACTGCAGTCTCATGGGAAGGGGGTGGTACTGGCACGTCCTTCAAGCCTAACTGAGGCCAAGAGTTGCTTCCCACAAGTGGCTCTCCAGCACAGCCATGGCACCAGATGCACAGAAACCAATCTCATAATTATCTGACTCTTGGCAGAAATCCCTGCAGACTTAACTAGTTAAATATCAGAAATCCAAAATTGTATGGTTTTCATAACCAGCAATAGAAAACAAATTATTTCACAATGCCTTTTCAGCAGTTCTGATTGTTGGGGGGGGAGAAATTCCAAACAATAATGGTGCATCTTTTGTCGAAATAATGAATGTATTCAAAGTAGAGAGAGAGTTAAGTAGAAATCATCTGCCTCACAGGTGGAAGGGGGGGTGTATATTGGGGTTCTTGGTGGTGAAAAATAATTACTGGTGAGAGGAGGGGTGTTTGATCATTGTATGACCAAGACTAAAACCTGAAAGCTTTGTAACTTTTCTCACAGTGATTCAATAAATAAAATCTGAAAAAAAAGATAGAAAGAAAATGGGTATCTATAAACCAAGAAAAGGGCCCTTGTCATGAACCCGGGTACTATAAATCCCCAGTCTCAGACTTATATCCTTGAAAACAATGAGAAATAAATGTGAATTAAACCATTAAAAAAAGAGAGAAGAGAATATGAGAGTAACCCATGAGCAGAGAGCCAGGAGTCACCCCTGAGCATCATTGGTTGTGGTCTAAAAGCAAAAAGGGGATGTTTATTCCCTCCCTCTACTGTCCTCTATAATGTTGCCTATATACTTTACATACTAGTATAGGCATATTGTGTGTTCATCTCTTTAATCTGTTCTTCTTTTGCAAGTCAGTGTTTTAGTGAGCTGTCACTTCCCAAACAGATTTCAACAAAAAACACATTCCCCAACTGTAAAAAAAAAAATCATGATACTTTTTATGGAGTACAATTAAAAATTTCTCCTGACTCTTAAAATATGTTTAAATACTGTTGCTCATCTTACGTTACCTAAGCATTGAACTCAAAGAATGGGCAACATTTTCTTGTTAAGTTTAAGATAAATTATGTAATGATAACATGGAATAGTATTGCTCCAGAAATCTCAGGACAATCTGATACAGCCTGGTACTATGAATGTCACTGTAAACTGAAACTTCCTTCAGCTGGGAATTCCTTCACCCAAAATAAGTCTAAAGGAGAGCATGATAATATGTTATATAGATGCACCTACTACTCCAAGCCAGCCCTCTAGTTCTACTAAAGAGGAAAGCTAAACAAATTTAAAATCAAGAAATCGACAGTTTTTCTTAGGTTCATCAGAGAGCTCAAATTCTCAGACCACACTACTGTTAGGGTTCAGTATCCAGAAGACCATACAAAGCAATGAGCTTTGTAGTATAAAATTTTATTTGGCACAAGTCAAACAAAAGTTGAGTTCAGAAAGCTGAAAAAGCTGAGAAGACCGAGAAAGATGACCAGTCAGGTCCTTCCCCTGCAGTGGGAAAGCGACCGCTCCTCTTGTTTCCAGGGTCCTTTAATATTCTAAGAATGCAAGGGACTTTCCTGACCATCTTTTACTACTCCCTGGTGACCTTTTCCTTGATTAGTTTGGTGTTTATCTCCACTGACTTCATGTAGGGGTAATTCTACTTTTTCAGTTGATTGCCATAAATGGGTGAGGGATAGTTCTGCCTTTTCCACTGATTTCCATAAATGGGTGTCTAGTACAACTGATGTCATCTTGGTGCCTTCCAGCGGGCTGAAGATAGGCTCCGCAGACAACAACTCTCTGGGAGGCTCCTCCTTGTTCACCAGCGTCCGGGACAAGGCTCTTGTTCGGAAGGAGGAGGGGAGAACAGGAGCAGTGTACGCATCATTCTGAACCACTTTGGTGAGGGGGAGTGCCTTGGCCACGGAAATCTTAGAACTGCTCACCCCAGTCACACGGTGGAGAAAGCTGCCTGATGCTGAGAACTTCATCTGCTTACTAGGAATGGGAGCTATGACGTCATCGTCTTCATCCAAGTCATATATATTCTGTTTGGCTTGGTGGTTATTGACAACGTTGATCCTCATTCCAGCAGGATGGGCATGAAGCGGTGCCATGGCCTTCTGCTGTGGAACCTGGATGGTTTTAGTGAGCTTCAGAGCAGGGGTCACAGTCCCGATGGGGGGGCTCATGAAGGAGGCCGGGGCACTCCGCTTCAGGCTGATCTTCTCCCGGGCATCAGCCACTGGGCGGGGCTTCTGGAGCACGGTGCTGCTCTGCTGCTTGCGGGAATTCAGCATCTCTCTGGCATCCTGCACTTTCCCTTTGATGCGAAAACGTGCATCTTTCTGCAAAAGCTTTTCTCGGGCATCCTTAACTCCCAGCTTGAGACGGGCATCGGCCAGGCCAATCTTCTGCCGGGCATCAAATCTCTGCTGGAAGGTGGCTGTGCGTGTGGGCTGGCCGAGAAGGCCCTGCTGGAGCCCGACACGCGCTCGAACACTGCCAACTCCAGGTCTGACACTGAGCCGCCCCTTGGCCGCGGCCCCGCGCTTCTGGATGAGCTCGTCCAGGGAGATGTCCGCCATCTTACAGCGCCCGGCCCGCAGCCCGCAGCGTCCGCAGCCAGTCTCCTGCCCCTGCGCCTGGCTGTTCCTCGCCGGGGTCCCTTGGAGGGGAGCGGGTTGAGCTTTCCTCCCCACCCCGACCAGGGCTCGGGCAGCCGAAGACCTCCAGGACCAGCCACCACCATGCTGAGACCACTCTCCGCACACATGAAGGTACTGGCAGAGGGACAAAGCCACGCGGGTTCCGGGGCCGAGATCTCCAAGCCTACTCGAATTGGAGTCGAGCATCCTCCACCCAGATCCTCCAAATTCCAGTAGGCGGGGGTCACACCCACCACCTGGCCCCCCGGGCGCCATGTAATCCCATCAGCGGCCAAGACTCAGAGACTACAAAATGCAGCTCCCGGAACCGCGCGGCCGCATTTGCGGCCGCGCGTCATCTTATCAGAACATCTTTTTATGATATCTCATTATCTCATTCCTACTCTGGACAAACTTGCAGGCTATCGAATATAGCCTGCCCACAGGGCAGAGTCTGGCAAACTCCCCGTGGCGCACCAAATATGCCAAATACCAGTAACAATGATGGGTCTCATTCTCCTAAAAAGCCTTGAATATAATCTCAGGGCTAGGATGAAAGAGACGTTACTGGGGCCTGCTCGAGGCAATCGACGATTAACAGTACAACTAATGATTTGGTATAGTGTTGCAGGTTCAACTGAGGGTCACTGGTAAGAGCTGCTCTTTTCCAAAATGGCTGTGCTTCAAGGCTAAGTATTGCTAGAGAGGGGTGGATCTCCACAACTACTCTGGAAATCAGAAACCTGTGAACACGGCTTTACTGGAAGCAGAACCCACTGGAGCTGAAAACTGGTAGGACCTCCAGCAGAGTGATGGACAGTTTGCTGAAAGTCAAACATGGGCTAGCTTTAAAGTCCTCAAAATTCTGGAGAACCCAAACGTGTTTCAGTAAAGGGGCAGGGGTCATGGTGACTCCACACATTAGTGAACCTTATTTCCAGGAATCCCACCAAGCCTTAACAGAAAAGAGCAGAGACTGGGCAGGAGTTGGGGGTACACCATTAGCCCCATAAGGAGGATAGTATAGAAAAGTACCATTCTATAAAGTGCATATATGCCTTGTATGGGTTTGATTCTGGGTACCACATGAACCCTCAAGCATTACCGAAAATAGTTCCCACAAGATAGCAAAGCCTTGTACTTGGAACTTTTGATAATTAATTACTTGATAATTAATTACTTTTGATAATTAAGTACCATTCTAAAATAAGCCCAAAAAATCATTCTGGTCTAAAATAAATAAATACCCTCAAGAAAAACTACTATCAGTGCATAATCTGACTAAAGGGAAGTACCATTAGACAGTTGAGTTCCTCTCGCCTTTCTGTCTCACATAACGTCAGGAAGGCAAAACATACTAAGAAACTTTCTGGAGGTTATACTCTAGGAACTTGAAACACTGGGATTTAATTATATTATGGGTTTCCTCCTAATTCCTTACTAGTCTATTATTTGGTATGGTGCTGGAGGCCCCAATCAGTACAATAAGGTTTCTAGACAACCAAGGATAAGAAACTTAAATTACATAATGTATATATCACTAATAAAAATAATTTATCAAAATTTAAATTGTGCTTATCTAAATAAGTAGTCAAAGGAAGTTAATAGGCAAGGGGCCAGAGTGAGAGTTTAGCAGGTAGGTTATTTGCCTTGCACACAGCAACCCGAATTTGATCCCAGCATCCTATATAGTTCTCTGAGCACCACTAGGAGTGATCCTAGTACAGAGCCAGGAGTAATCCCTGAGGATCACCAAGTATGGCCCAAAAAACAACAACAACAACAATAACAAAAGTAATGGGCAAGTCACAGATTTGGAGAAATGCTCAAATGCATATATCAGAAACAGAGTTGGTCTCAGGTATACAAAATAATTCTGAAAACTATAAAGCAGCCCAAGTGACAGGCCCAAACTGACAAGCAGCCCAAGTGGGCTTTTCCTACTCCCTTAACTAACTCAAAAATTGGAAATCTGGGGTATTACTCAAAATTAGGACTTTCACTAAAAATGATCTTTCTTTCCAAGAAAACCTATGTCTATATCAGGGCAAATGTCTAACTCCAGAGTATCTTTGTCAATGAGTGACATTCTTATCATCATGTGAATGGACCCTTCTCCCTTGTCAAAGCTTTGGGTCTCTATTCACTCCATTGTTCATAATAAATACCTTCATTTTGCCTCCCTAACATTTTAGATTTCCCATGCTTAAACAATTGTATTTTTTCTCCTACAAAACTTTCTGATATTGATTTGATGGGCTGGAGCGATAGCACAGCGGTAGGGCATTTGCCTTACAAGCGGCCAACATGGGCGGCCCGAGTTCGATTCCTCCGCCCCTCTCGGAGAGCCCGGCAAGCTACCGAGAGTATTCGATATGCCAGACACAGTAACAACAAAGTCTCCAAGGAGACGTTACTGGGCCCGCTCGAGCAAATCGATGAACAACGGGAGGACTGTGACCTGTGACCTGTGATTGATTTGATAGCTAAACCAGTCCACGAACCAAGTAGTAGGGAAAATATTATCTCCTCCCTGACATCATCATCACAATATCTTGAGTTCCATATCAAACCTCTCTTTTTTTCTACCTTCCTACCTTTCCTCCTTTATCATAAAACCTTCTCTGCTTTATAAAGACACTCATGAGTATGCACAGGGTTCACCTAAAAAACAATCTCGGAAAATCTTCTATCTCGAAATCCTTAAACATGCATACAAAACTCCTTTTACATTTAGATCTTGAATATCTTCAGGTGATTATTATTCAGCTAGGCTTCAGGGGCCAATGGAAACTCAGCTCCTACAGAAACAGCGCTAAGCACATTCCTACTCAGGGTTTGTCTGAGAAAATTTAGAAAAAATTGATTCCCTCTTCCAATCACAGTTAAGGTAATGATACTGAATAAAGCTTTTCAGACATTTTAGAGAGTCAAGAGTATTGTTCTACTTGTTCTGTTTTCTACAAAGAGAATTGTTCACTGAAGTTTTACCAACTGATTTTCAATAGCCCCTTTCACTCAAGTCGGTTTTCCATCTCCATTTGACGCACAAAGGCAGAGAATTATCATAGAAATAGACTTGTTTAGTGAAAACTAAATATATTATCCCTTAAATGCACTTTGAAAGATTTGCCCAAGGAATTTCACTGAAAGAAAAATTATTTTAAGCATGAAATTGAATATGAATATCTTGAATATGAATGAACCCTTTCTGTCTCCCAACAGTCTTTGTCTTCAGGTAGGTATCCCCAAAAACACTATAATATATCATTTTTAACTTTTCCTAATCATTTTTATCATTTTTATTTATTGCTTAGAAAGTCTCAGGTCAGTATATAATTAGAAATAATTATATAATTATTATATGATTTCATTTACCTATTCCCTACAACTGGCTTCCACAGCTCCCAACTGGCTCACATTATTGTCCCATATACCACCCATCATTTTAAGTGCGAATATGTGTACAGTTTCAGGGATTAAGCCCAGGTCTTCATACATACGAGGTTCTGTTCTGTCATTGAGCCACATCCCTGATCTCCTCCCTCAGCTCTGAAAGAAAATCCTACACGTCATGGAATTTTTCCCTTAACGCTAGCTTTCAAAACGAAAATTCAAGCATTGTTATTTGCTTTCTTTTGTTCTTGTGTCACAGCTGGCAATGCTCAAGGCCTACTTCTAGCAGTGCTCAGGGGACAAAATGAATTGCCGGGTATCTAACCAAGATTAGAGGTGTGCAAGGCAAACATCTTACCCACTATACTATCTCTCCAGCCCTAACATTTAAGGGTTTTTTTAATATATAAATATGCATGACACCATGCCAATAACATACCTAATTACAGTTAGCACAACTGACTAATTCAATAATAGTTTTCCTACTAGCCGGTCTTCAAGTTCCATCACCGGTTTCAAAAATATCTTTTCACAGGGAGTTTATTCAAAACAAAATTCAAGTAAAGCTATAATTTTAAATTCTCATTGTATCAACAGTATTTTTTCTTTTTTTTTCAGTATTTTCTCTTTTTCTTTCTGAATGTCATCCTCTTTGCAGGTTTTATCGTTTACCTTTGTTTAGCCAAAAGCACAACAGTTTGATTTTGTTCATGTCAGTTATTTTCTGAAGTTACTCTTTTCAGGGGGGGTGGGGAGCATTATCTTATTTTGTAAGCCACTGTATCCTAAACACACACTTTCAGAACTTAGAAGTGGTTTTATAAGGAATCACAGGAGAGTGATGTAAGCTTTTCAAGACATCTTCTCGCTTTAAAAAAATAAATATATAAATCATTATAAAATGTGTAACTGAATTCTGAATTAAACTACCACTTGAATAAACTTCCAGGGTCCCATTCTGAGATAAAATCATATTAGGTGTTGATATGAGATTTTGTATTTAATAAACCATCAAATAAATTCATATGGTAAATGAAATTTCAGATTTTCTCCCATGGCCTACAGAATTACAAAGTTAACTATAAGACTAACTTACTAATGAACAACACCTCAATTTATAAGCACCAGTTACTACCAACATGTGGTTCATCTTATTAACAGTCACTACCTCACTTACGCACTTTCCTTATTGTCACTATTAATTAAAACTGATACAGACAGTTCTTAGGAAAATAACTAGCAAAGTGTTGTTGGCTCTCTTTGAAAACGTATCAGGATGGAAAGCAATTAACAAAACCATAAGTTGATTAAAACAACTGAAATACTGAAGATGATGTAGTTTGTTTCTTGACCTCTACTGGTAAACACTAATGAAATTTCTTGTAAAGCAAGTCAAAAGGGGAAAAAAGCAGACATCCTGAACACATGAGATGTTCTACATGAGACTTGGTTCGTGGCATCTCAACTCACCATCTTAGAAAATGCAACTCAGTTTATAATGGGAAAGCAAGTAAGTACTCAGATTGTTAGGGCTCCATTAAAATGAGATTTATTTCTTACTGGAAAAAATCGTAAA